CCCCGAGTGGGCGATCCCACCCCCTGGGGCGCTGGGGGAAGCAATGCCCTGCTTTATCCTGGCTTATAGGCTAAAGCCCAAAAGATTGTAATTGCCAGGTGGTATGCGGAGTTACTTCTTTTCTGAAATGGGGGCAAGAGGCCACGTACATTGGGGAACCGCAGCTCTCAGGGCCCCTTGATCTAAAATGGGTTTCAAGAACGTCAAAAGGCGCGGTGCTCTGACAATAGACTGATTTGGACCTACAGGTCCCTCCCGTGAGGGGTCGGTGAGAGAAGACGCCCGCCTAGCACCCAGTGCTCACGTGTGCCCACTGGAGACCCTGAGAGGAAGTGCCCTGCTCGGGGTAGGAGGGGCTGCTGGCTACCCTGGCGCTAACCCTCTGCCCACGTGGCTTCTCCTACCTTGTATCGCTTTTTACATCCGGGAACCGGGCAGGCAAAAGGCTTCTCCTCCCCGCCGTTCATGCACATGGAGCTGAGGATGGCTTCGGAGCTGATGGCGCTCTCGGTGGTCCAGGACTCGTCGCTGTCCGACTCCTCGTAGTCCACCTCCTCCTCGTCGTACTCGCTGCCTGTGGGGGCAGAGCACACAGCGGCGCCGCTGTCAGAAGTCCGACCCTTATTTATTCCTAAGGGATTGTGCACTTAGGAATAAGGCTCTTCTTCTCCTGGAAGAGCCCCGGGAGCTTCTCAGCTAGCCACTGGCTGCAAACGCAAGTCCAGGTGGACCCAGGCCCCTCTTCAGCACTGGGTAGACTGAGGCACTGCAGACTTCCCCCTGCAATGAGCAACGCTTGGGGTTCCAAACACTTATTTTTAAGTTTTATGGGGACAAAATCCATATATTATACAATTCAGTAGTTCAATCATATGACGTTGTAAAATCAACACAATATTACAAAATTTTTATTCTTTTACTCTCTGTTTCCCCCAGAAACCACTAATTAGTCACATCGTGGATTTCACATACAGAAACACACACAAAAGCAAAGAAATAAGAAAGCTAACAATCTCAACCGAAAAGAAAGCAGAACATATTTAAAACAAACAGCTGTAAAATGGGTCCAAAAGGAGATCAAAATAATAAGGTTGTTAAAGTCTAACCTTGCTGCATCTGCCATTCTCCACACTTTCCATTCACTTGGCTATTCCCGTCCCTGGTTCAGAGGGGACTCGGGAGGCTTCATCCCCCAAACACTGCCTTTTGTGCCTGACTGGCCCGAGGCAAAGTCTCCAGGGCTGCAGGCTCCTCTGCTACCCTTTAGGTTTGTTTCTCTGTTGAGGTGGGAACACCAGGAGATCTTGTGGAACTCAAAGGGGTTAACCCAAAGGTGGGGAGCAAAGGGCAAGAACCCTGGGAAATCCACAAGTAAGCTGTCAGAATGCAGGCTCAATGAAGACAAAACCACTCCATCTACATGCGGAACACCAGGACAAAGGCACCCCCTTTCTGGCTCCACACAGCATCTCCCACCTCGGCCAGTAGCCGGGTTGGTTTCTCTGCCCCTGAAGGGGGCGGCTCTGCGGGGACTGGACTGCACAATCTCAGGCCTTCTGTTCAGGTCGGTCCTGGTGGAGAATCACCTTGACAAGTGGTCCCTTTTGACTTTTTTTTTTTTAAATGAGGCCCAGAGCCTTTTATTTGGTGCTTTTGTACAATGCAGGTCTGAAGGACATAATTCTACAGATCATAAACAGTGTAAAATAATATGTTGACAAGTCCTAATGCATTTACAAGCCCCATGGAATAAATAGGAATTATAGCACAACATTAATAAGAATTATATGGTAGCAATTATAGTTGTGAAATCCATCCCCCAGGTGTGAGGCTAAATTGTAGGGGCGGGGGGTGCTGCCTGGGTGCCTCGTGGGCTCTCTCTGCTGCATCAATTATTTCAACACCAGATATTGGCACTTTTATTGGGCTTCATTTTAATGGGCATTAATAAGATTGTTTGAAGAGCCAGTTGGGCCAGGAACTGGGCCGCCGGCATCTGGGGCTGCAAGGGGAAGAATGCAGACTGGCAGGAAGGGCTGCGTGTTTATTGAGTGCCTCTTATGTTTCAGGAGTGTTCACCATGTTCTCTCATTTAATCCTGCAGAAACTTATTGGGGGTCGGGGGGGTCATTTTTAAACCCAGGAGGAAACTGAGCCTGAATGGGGTTAAAGAATACATACAATCTTGATGACCTGTTAAAGGGGCATCACTCTCCCCCACGTTGCTCCATCTGCTATCCTGCACCCCACCGGCCCCTCACCTTTCTCCTTCCGTGTTCAAGGACGGGGCTCGCCCATGAAGCACCTCAAATGATTTGGCCAAAGCAGGTTCTGGGCGGGAAAGCCTGCGTTCTGGGACCTTGGCTGCTGGGGGGGAGGGGGGGTGTGACAGGAGAGGAGGCAGCCACTACTCACGGGCTGTTTCTAAGTAGGGCGCTGCTCGGGACATTTCACTTTAAACAAATGCCACATGCTGGTGTCCTTTAAATTGCTTGTTAGAAAACGATAAATGCTATTTCGCAAAGCTCCTTGAGCAGGACTTCAGAAAGTTAGAATGACTAATCTCCCCATCTAATTAGGCTAACTTGTGAACCTGGAGACCAAGAACCACGCAGGCACTTGGTGGGGGGAGGGGGGGTGCTTGATGAAGCCCCGCACAAGACACACCTTCCTGATGGGCCCTGGTCTGCAGGCCCCGCGGGGTCCAGGACAGGGCGACATCCGGGGACGCGAGAAGTACCTCGCCGGCAGAGGCACCCACCTGGAGTCAGGTCTTGGCTAAGGTGACCAGACGTCCCGCTTTTGGTGGGACAGTCCAAATTTTTAATTTTTCCCACGTCCCTCAGCGTTTTAAAAAAGTCCTGATTTTTGGAATGAATGCATAAGCTAGGGTTTACGGTTTTCGGCTGCCATGTGGCTATTTCGCCAGGATATGAGTTTTATCAATGGTGTCCCGCTTTACCAATGTTCATTCACTCAGGGACTAGTCCCTTGGCCTCGGCTCCTTCCGTGGAATGACTGCCAGCCCCTACCTAGCGGTTTACCCAAACAAGCCCTAGAGCGAAGTCCCCTTCACGCAGACAACGGCTGTGAGTGACCAGCCAGAAAATGCACACTATGGAGGGGTGCCCCCAGATTCACTGCTGTAGCGTCAGGTTTGACTTCGTGCGACCGACCAGACAGGGTGGGATCCCCGTGGGTACCCAGGGTGGTCACTGCTCATGGGAGCTGAGCCCTGTCTTTCTCCCATGGAGCTGCAAGGGACAGGGCGCCCACTGTCCCCGACTGCTCTTTTGCAGACATGCCAACCCCAAACCCAACGACCCTATGTTATATTTGCAGATATCAGGGCCTACAAAACGGTGTGTGTGAGCTCTACTGTCGCTCAGGTGAATGGGCTTTAATCCACAGCAGACCTGTCACCACCTGTGCGGAGGGGTATGGCTTTCACCTTGGGGTGGGAGGGGCAGGGCCGGGAGTCTTCCTGGGAGTCACCCATGCTCAGATGCAGGTGCCCCTCAGTGCTCACATCTGGAAAACCTGCCTGGGGGGCCCACCGCGCCCGGCAGAACACAGCCGAGCCCCACTGAACGACAGCTTTGAACTCTGAGGGAGAGCCTGAAACGGAACCCTCTCCCGCCTAGTCACAAAACCAGCGGGGCCCGCAAGCGCGTGTGCAGCTGCTTTATTCATTATTATCCTTATGTCTCTGCAAAGGGCAACGAGCAGCCCGAGCTGGTCCGTTCTAGTTCCAACAGAACTGACCTCGCTAAGCAAAGCGAGCCCTGAAAACTCACTTCCCAACGGACACCTTTCCAGGGCTTCTGAGCCCTCAGTAGGGAAGTTGCTCGCCATTGCAGACCGCTGATGGTAGCCACACGCTGACCCCACCATCCCCTCATGGGGAAGCCGTGGGCACTGCCCACCCCACGTCCCCATGGACCAGCATGCGCATGGATGTACAGACTGGCTGTGGAGCACACACATTATTAATGCTCACGTGAGGAAGCACACATGCAAATAAGTCAGTGGTAAACGTAAGCGTGAAGAGGGGGGGGCTGAAAAAAGAACCACGTATATGGGGGGTTTATAGGCTATTGATTTTGATTTCACTTCTCAAGGAGGGCTGTGTCAATATATAATGCTTCATATATATGTGAATAAATATATAATAATTCACTATGTACAACAACAAGAACAAAATCCCTCCTTCAAGCCTC